CCTAAAAATAGTACAAAAATGTTACCGTTTTCGAGTTATTTGTTTTTGTAGTGACATGATATCAGCAGATAAATCTATCAGTAACAATATTTAAGTAGGCCTCGAACCTTTTGGTCGACCACCATCTCTATTTTTAGTTTCCAAACATTATTTTTCACGCAATCTTTGCCCAATCTTCGAAAATGTTCTAGAATTTGGAACGCGTCAAGCGGGAATCATCTCTGCATAATGAATAACCTTAAAATCTCATTTGAAAATCGCAGTAGTAATATTAGAAAGCAAAAAACCAAACGAGGAAATTAACATATGTGACATCAAAAACTGAAATATCTCTAATACGGTTACATTCTCCGTATTTTGATAAGAGTACTGTTTTTATTATTTTTCTTTTCTCTATCCTATTTTGTCACCAAAAGGAATACAAGGAAAGAAGTTGTCCACAAAAAATCATGATCCACACTCTAAAAACACCCTTGATAACAATATCATAAATGTAGAACTGTATCAGAAAGATGGATATCATTGAATTACATTCATGCAAATACTTTCAATCTGGTAGATTTCACCGTTTAGATTATGCGAAAAAAGTATTTTAATTTCATCAACTTCGGAAGGATATCTCCCTTAATATGCATTTTGAGCCATAAGTTTATCTATCAAAGCATACCTATTTTTCAACGTACTATCACTTCTAGCTCGTTACACATTTTTGACTCACCCTGTATGTTCCGTATCTGTCAAAGCTTGATACTTCTATACCTACTCTCCGTATTCCATCGTCTTTGAACCTGTTTCAAGTATCTGATTCTTTCTATTAAAATAGTGGTGGAAATAATTTGAAATATGTTGTTCAAACTCAGACTTGTCAAATCCAGCACTGTGTTCTTTGAATCGTATTATTATATAACGTTGTGCTTGTCCAATATATTTCTCGAACTATCATCATCATTTTACTGGAACGAAAGATCTGCCTAGTCATTTACTTCAGGTTCACAGTCCGACAAGCTGTCAAATAGTTGATTCCTCAAGCTGCTCATTGTGTTAATTTTATGAATAAACAATAAGCGATCGGTGAATTGAAGAAAACAACAGGTGTTGTTTTCTGTACACACTCATGCTTCTTAATCCACACTTACTAATAGCAATTTTTTGTGCCTCACTCCTTTCCCCGACAACAAATCATCCCCCCGTATCTATTGATTCAACAATAATTTGCTTCATTCACTTTTAATTTACCGCCGATATCGCTGTCCACACACGTTGTCACATTAGTCACATTAGTTTTACCGCTACCTCACCCAGACATACCCGAACAGCACGAGCCTTGGTGTCCGTTGGGTAAGAAATTGCACGACTGTTATCCAATCTGTACAATCCTGAAACTTCCTTCTCGTACCACGGAAAAAATCTCAACAATTGCAACACGGAAATGATGTTTCACAGTTACGTTACTGTTTCGGCTCACCAGACCCCATCAGTTGCGCTCGGTCTACTTCCATACCATATAAACTACTTACCAGATGAAGTGGGACATCCAAAAAATTGACTAATTTTGATAAGCTATAACTCGAATATTTCTTGGCCGATGTTGGATTTCCAACCAAAGGAAGAAAGCGTCATCCTTGTGCTATGCGTCATTGGCGTCGGGTTTTTATTCTTGCTATTCGTTCTCTTTGTACAGAGTGTGAATTAAGAGCCGGAAAAATTTCAAATTTTTGACCTATCATTTGGGAAATGTGAGGGACCCTAGAATTCTTTTTTAGATGTTGGGTGAATGGTTGGTCCGATACCTCGGGACGTCTTTGAAATTTTTTTGATGAATTGCGTTGCTATGGAAAAATCGCCATTTCATGAAATTCCATTTTCATTTTAAAATGTGGCCTTTCTTAGTTGAACAATAACAGCTCACATCTGAACTGCAATAAGGGATATTCCTACTGAAGATAATTAACACCAGTGGCGCGCAAAAAGGGGTTTATGATATTTAGAAACGAAAAACTCGTTTTTATTGGAAAAATTCAACAGTTTTATTGATCGTTACAGTCGAAGAGGTGTCATACCCTCAATTAGCATGATGTTGACAAATTCAGAGGCGTGCAGAAAAGGGGCTTATGATATTTAGAAAAAAAAACGTTCTTATTGAAATAAAAACAACAGATTTATTGACCGTTACAGTAAAAAAGTTGCCATACATTTAATTAGCATGATATTGACGAATTCAGAGGCGTGCGAAGGATGATTCTGTAATCATTGACGTATTAAAGAGGATCCATCATTGAAGGCGATTCAAAATGTTTGATATGGAAACATTTTTAATGATTTCATCAAGTGTTGTTCTCTGTTTGCCCAGTGAAAATTTTCTTGTATCATCATTTATGAAAGAAAATTCAGGAACGTGACTCTGGTGTTTCTCGAACCGTACAATTTTATAATTTTGTCAAGAAAAAAAATCAAAAAATCTTCAAATTTTGCCCCCCAAAAAAAATCTCATTTTCTTTATAAATCTTCTTGTCTTATTTCTGATGAAGCATTTTTTTAAATAATTATTTTCTTGATTTTTACTACACGCGGACCCGATCATGACACGATCAAGAATGTTTTTACTGGGCGAACAGAAAACAACACTTAGCAAAATTATTTAAAATGTTTCCATACAATGTAACATTTTTTAATTGCCTCGTATCAATGGATTCTCTTATTTAATTATGAAACTGGAATTTTAATCTGTCTACGATTACAGAATCACCTTCTGCACGCCTCTGGATTTGATAACATCATGCTAATTGAATGTATGAAAACTTTTTTACTGTGACGATCAATGAATCTGTTGTTTTTTTTCCCAATAAAAACGTTTTTTTAATTTCTGGATATCATAAGCCCCTTTTCTGCACGCCTCTGAATTTGTCAACATCATGCTAATTGAGGGTATGACTCCTCTTCAACTGTAACGATCAATAAAACTGTTGAATTTTTCCAATAAAAACAAATTTTTCATTTCTAAATATCATGAACCCCTTTTTGCGCGCCACTGGTGTTCATTATCTTCAGTAGGAATATCCCTTATCACAGTTCAGATGTTAGCTGTTATTGTTCAACTAAGAAAGGCCACATTTGAAAATAAAAATGGAATTTCATAAAATGCCGATTTTTCCATAGCAACGCAATTTATCAAAAAATTTCAAAGACGTCCCGAGGTATCGGACCGACCATTCACCCAACATCTAAAAAATAATTCTAGGGTCGCTCACATTTCCCAAATTATTGGTCAAAAATTTGAAATTTTTCCGACTCTTAATTCACACTTTGTACAAAGAGAACGAATAGCAAAAATGGAAACCCGACGCCAATGACGCATAGCACAAGGATGACGCTTTCTACCTTTGGTTGGAAATCCAACATCGGCCAAGAAATGTACGAGTTATAGCTTATCAAAATTAGTCAATTTTTTGGTTGTCCCACTTCATCTGGTAAGTAGTTTATCTGAGATCTAGTTATTTGAATGAATATTTTTGGACCTGATTCCACTCAAGTACTGTTTCTAACATTACCAGCTGTCAGCCAAGTGGTTAACGTGTAGTACAACTTTGTAAATAGTATTGGCGGTTGCAGAATTGGTAGATTCTCTTATATACTTTCATATTATCTGGAATACACGAATCAAATAATGGAATTTGAACAACTTCCATTTAGGTATTTCTTGATATGTCTAACTGAGGAAGGATGTTCAGATTGGATAAACGTACCTACAACATTTTTCGTTTAACATTTGGTTTTTGGTTGTTACTTATGGCATGTTTTTGTTTTTGTTCACAACACACTCATGAACATTTTATTTTCATGACCTTATTAGTACACTTATTTGAATTTCTGAAGTATTGGTATATTTTAGTATTTTTTTATATCACACACAAAGTTGAATATAATAATAATAATAATAATAAATGCTTTTATTGAGAGGTTACATACAAGTACAGAAAACCTAACAAGAGGCAGGATTCAATATCTGCGCATGAAAAATTCATAGCAGAGCTTGCTCTTCCATCCAACCAATATGACATTTGAAAAACATAAAAACTCTTATTGTTGTTTAATCTATCACCAAATGGGACGATTCTTTATGTATTTGTGTTTATTGAAAGTCATATTCTTCATGTTTTTTTGCACTATTGGTTATTGGTAATATTATTCCATAACGAATAGTTCCTACTCTCTCATCACAAATGATATTTCTGACAATTATCAGATATTATCAAGAGGTAGGTAGTCGTACAGAAAGATTTTTTTTGTTGAATATTACAGGAATATTCTTAATGAACGATCATTTTGTATTATTTCTTTCGAAGCATTCACTGAAATAGTTTACATTTAATGTCCTTATGAGTGAGGACATGCTTGTCACCTCTGACATTTTCGAATTATCACCATTCTCAGATTTGAAACGTTTCATATTTATTTGAGTTGCCTAAAGACGAGAAGACATTAAAAGTGTTTGTTAAAGCTCTGAATTCCAATAGATGTTTGACAACGTGACAAGCGTGTCATCACTCTTTGAAGAGCGTAAAATATGATGTCAGAGCACTCTAGTTTACATCAATAAGAATTTGGTTAAATAACCTGCCAGTTGTCATTCTAATGGGAAAATATTACCAATCTCTTTGGCATCGCCTAGATCTGACTTAGAGTTTGCTTATTTTGTTTTGTTTGTTTCTCCTCCACCTCTTTTACTCTTCCTCCTACTATCCATACAAATTCCAAAACCTGCCCCACCAAAATTCGCTGACTCCTCCACCCACTCACAAACCACGCCGTCCCGCAACCCCCAAACCACTCTCCTATATCCCACTTGACCATCTTCATTCCCAAACTCCGCCCACCTGTAACTCGAACCACGCCTACCTGTGAACCACGCCTATATAAACCTCGCCCACCTGCAAACCACGCCTACTCGAACCACGCCTCCTCCACTCACGCGTGCGCACCTCGATCACGTGACCGCACAGCCAAGGGACGCACGAACATCGAGCTGCGCGAGCAGTTCATCCTGGCCGACGGCGTCTCGCAAACGATGACGGCGTTCAGACCGCGCACGGCCGCCTCCAGTCCCGCCTCCGGGTCTTCGGCGTCTTCGCTGCGCGCCGCTACGCCGGGGCCAATTTACAAGGTACCTGTTGTCGCGTTCTCGCACCGAAAAGCACGCCCCCGTGTGGTTGCTTGATGGTATTATTGGGTGGTCCGTGAAGGGTTGGGAATTTTTTTTTCAGTTTGATTTTGTTTATCGGTGAATTTGAGGTTTTCCAGCGAGTGATTCTATTTTTTTTTGTATTTTCTCCTCGTTCCCATAAAATAAAAACGATGCGTTTAAATTTTTTCTACTAGCGTGCGGAAAAGTCCACTCTTTCGCACTCATTTCAGTGTTGAAAGAGTCCCTTTTCCGCACTAATGCGAAAAAGTAAATTTGTCAAGGTTCTGGGGAGTATACTGACATTTGAATATCTATTAATAAAGAATGATGAGTAGGAAAAAATAGTGTACCTCACACGTGCGTGAAAATACATTTCCTCACGCGATTGCTGGCCGAAGTCTGCTAAGCGTCGCTCGGTTATCTGCAATCGCTTACGGAAAAGCACCATTTCCTGTACTTGTTAGGCGAACTACTATACTATTAGTGGGCCTAAAAGAAAAATTCAATCGATTGTCAGTGACACATCGTTTTAAAAAATGTTTGAGGGCAAAAAATATAGATATATCGAAAAAATATCAAATTCTTAGTCATCTTTGGCCGTTTCGGGAACGAATCTGCTCCGTTTTCAACATAAAAATGGATAATATACTATTCTCGCTGAAGTGTTTTCGTATATCAATATTGACACTTCTCAGTGAGACATGTTGACGTTAGCAAACATGAATTATATGATGTTTCTATTAATCAATCTTGAATTAACCATTTTCATGCTCAGAATTTAGTAGTGATTAAGGTTTTACCGGAAATGAACCTAGCTCGAGAATTTTGAATGGAACCCTGTGGATATTTTTACGCCATCGAATAGAGCAAAAAATTTCCTTTTCAATGACATAATGAAAAGTTGTGTTGGACTGGCTTAAAAAGCTTTAATTATTCTTATACGAAGCTGAGCATATTACTGTTACTGCAACTCATGGTCACGAGCATTTCGCGCACTAAATAATATTCTGTTTTTTTTTTTTGCAATCGCATACCTCGTTGGCCCCAGCACTGGGACCAAACGCCCCATAAGTCGAAACTTGTGCGGGGTTAGATATAAATACAAACACAAAAATCCATGGCCTAACTAGGATTTGAACCTATGTCTCGGTGGGAGTCCCCATACGAACTCAGCGCATTTACGCTCTCGACCACCGAGCCGCCTCTAGTGTTGAACTGCTGTTGAAAATTTAGAAATACATGATTTCTCGGAGTTTTGCTTGATTGATTGGGGACCAAAAAGGTTAAAATACAAAAATCTCATAAAGATCACGCAAGGTGTCGTGGTAACGTAGGAAAATGAAAAAAGGGTCACTTTGCATATTGTTATCAATGTGCGGACCTTGTAATTTTTTGACGTTTTTAGAAAAAACATCTACATTGTTCCATCCAGAATTTCCGACCAAAATTTATTTCTGATAGAACCAGAAGAGATTTTCAATTATTTTTGAGAGAATATGGATATATGGGTTTTGAGGAACTACTCGTATATCTTCGATTCAAATGTCAAAAGTTCAACATAAAAGAAAAAACTGAATGCCACCATGGTATGTAATGTATGTATCATGCAGAAAAAGTTCCGAATCCTTCACGAGTATTCAACAGTCGATTTGGGTATGATATTGGTGTGATGCTTCAGTAGATTGTTGATGAATCAAAGTAAGTAGATGATGGCGCATGCTTCTCACTGACGGATTATTATCGATGGAAACGGTAAGTGGTTTTTCGTTTATCAGGTGATCGCTGTTTTGTTTGTCATTGTCTGTTGTTTTGTGTCTCATTTTTGTGTCTCAGGAGGGTTGCTATTCAATGTCGATGGAGAATACATGGTTTATTTCTCGGATAATGTGATTATTTTCATTTAGTCTAAAAGCAGTGATTGCTCTATTATAATATGTACATAGAAGAAGTCGATAGTTTAGAAGAGATTTACTATAATGTTCCCTACAACGGAGAAATGAAGTTATTATTAGTTGTTAGCAATCTATAGAGATTAGTCTCTCTGATACAATTAGTTCAATGGGCCATTCTGGTTTCACAGTGAATCTCAGTACTTCTCAACTTGTCAACATCAGTTCTGATCATGTATCTGGTTTCCTCTAGAATTTTGAAGAGATTCATTGTTGAATTTGAATGGTTCCATTGATTTTTTATTCGTCATCAGTTTGCCATCATTGTAAATTCTAATGTAACTTATTCACACATGCACTCTCATTACTTCCATACACTTCTGTACACATCCACAATCTAAGCCCACTGACAAAATACAATAGTGAATGGAAATTCACTCCAGCCACGATGAAGACTTGCAAAATCTCCACCAAACTTCATTATCACGATATAAATTTTTGTAACGCAAACAATAATTGAAAAAGCCACATTTGTTTTGTAAACATATTTCGAAGGAACCTTACAACCTGATACATTTTATAGCAGTTTCACAGAAAGAGAAGAAGGGTCTGTTTCCAGAAACTAGTTGACAGTTTTTTTTCCGTTAGTGTTACACTACACTGTTTCCCCACTATCCAAACCGATTTTTTTTTACTTCTGCTAACTATCTTAGAATCCTCAGGATCAATAAATTATATTATTATTCTCATTAGTAATACTTATTATTATCATTATTATTATTCTAGAATACTGTTTATATACTAGGCATGTTCACTTAACCGTGCCAAAGACATTAACCACGTAGTCAATGTCTGTTATGAATATTAACTTTTTCAGAAAACATGAAGGTACAGTCATGAGAAATTGTTTATAACCTTCCTTGGCTGAATTGTTCATGAATCTGTGTGAAGCGAACGCAGATGAAAAAACTCAGCAATTTCCTCAGAGTTGAAATAAAACTATGGATATAGCCATCTGTATAGTTTAATGATTTAGGATTAGGATCAACATGTGAACCCAACCATGACAGACATTGACTGTGCGGTTAGTCTCTTCACCTAGTATACAATCAGCATCAGCATAGGATATTTTGATTGAATCTTCTCCTCAAGATGCCAACACAGCGAAACACGTGTCGAGGCGTTAAAAAATCGGTGTGGTTGGTGGTAAAAAAGAGTATAATTATCGTTTTGAAAACTTCCGATTTTGTGGTTCGAGTAAATCTTGAAACGGATTGTCTTATGAACAACTTCGGAAGCTCCGTAACTTTTTATCTAATATCTAAAAATCAATAGTTTCAAAAACATTGTCGATTGTCGAATTTTAGTTGACACTTTTGTGAGTAAACACTTCGGAAGAACATGAAATTGTTATTTTTTTATACAAGGAAAAAAAGTAGTAGATTTTAGCCCCAGGTTGTGTTGTCTTCCGACGCGTAGCGGAGGGAGACAAAAAACCGTGAGCTAAAATCTAATATTTTCCCGTGTATAATACACTATTTTTCTCTGTGACAGTAGAAAGGACGAATCAATATTGAGAAGATATTGAATTATTTTGAAATATGAGCATTATCGACGTGAAATTTGAAATTTTATCAGGAGGGGCACCTGCGTTGAAGGCATCTTTATCATTCTTTCGAAGTAATCAAATATCTGATGTCACTCCTGTCAGTCTAATTCTGTGATTTGATTTCAAAAAATTGCGAATTTAGTGGTTATTTAGTAATTTACGTTACCGCGAAGTCTAATGGAAGATAAAAGGACTTGCAGTTCTTTTATCTCTATCAATATTGACTTATTTTTTGGAACTATAGCACAACAAGAGCTATCAACAGTGTATATATCCGGGAAAAAAGTACTCACTTTTTTCCCACGGGAAAAAAGTAATTTATGAAAAGTGACATTTCATAACCTGTCTACAGAGATGAAATGCCAATCTTTTTTCCCGTCACAGAAAAAAGATCATTTTGCGATAACAAAATTGCAATGGGAGATAGTCGATAGTCATTCAATGCTCACTTCTTCAATTTGTCCTGCGTTTACGTAATACTTATGACATACCGGTTTAAATCATGACAATATCAATAATAATCAAAGAACACTTCGTTCCACTTTGAACCTTGACACTCAATAAACCTGGACAACCATGAAGTTCCACCTTTGGTCATTGTGTGCTCCCCGCAAACAGGTGGTTAAAGAAAATTGTCATTGGGTTCAAGGGAAGCGCCATCATCGATAATATAACCCTTTCAAATTTTTATCTCATCAAATAAAGAAACTACAGGCTGTTACATGTCTCCTGTGTCACCCGGTATACTATTTATACACGGAATGATCAAAATAAAATAGGTATGTGGCGTAAATTCGACTAGGGTGCACTACCCCATTGTTCATGAAATGAACAAAAATGGTAAATGACCAGAGAATAGTATATTGTGCAACAAGTGGGAAATGTGCTTTTCCTCACATGTTGTACGCTATACTTTTTCTACAACGGCACTTATTAAAAAAAAGAATCCGAGTAATGTGGCTTATTGGTATTCATTTCATAATATGCCACATTGAATATTGTGATCAAAGAGTAGACGCCTTTCCTAGTTTCTCAAAGTATTTCAAAAAAGTACACTTTCCGAAAAAAGATTTTATTTCTGTATTTTTTTAATTCCATAAATTTTTTGTTTATGCCAATTCATACTTTTTTCTTGAAATTTCCGGAAACAAATCCAACTTTCGCAACTTCTTCCATTATCACTGTCTCTGGCGGTATATTTATCAAAAACGTCACATCTCGGTATATACATCATATTATATTTATTATGAATTGTTGGAATAATATCTGATGGAAAATGCGATTTCTATCAAAAGCACTAATGAGAACTACCATAAAGAATTTAAAAAACTCCTTCTGACAGTTGTGACACCTATTCAAAGCTGAACAGCAGCCAATTTGTGGTCGTTTCTCGTTGATTCTCCATGGAAATGTATGTGGTGTTGGCAAAATGCCTTGAGAAAAAATATTTCTCACAGTATGAGCAATACATGGTTTTGAAACTAAGTTAGCTATGAGAAATGCGCTACTTTTCATAGCAGTAGTAGAAAAAAAAACCTTTCCTGGCTAATGCCGATACAAGTCGTTGAAAATGAAGTTTGGTGGCGAGTCTCGCACGCAGAGGTCTCCGGCCCTACCGATCTCAGGACCTCGTTTTGGATTTGCGCATGTATTTCCGTAGCCCACGAACACCTAGCCGAGCTGATGCCGATTTTCGACGAAATAAGGGCGCGAGGCGATTGCGGCAATGCGTACCCTTTGCACGTCGGTTCCACTGCCGGTCCTACCCTGCACATGGCCCACGTCAATCCCAACACCTGCTATTGGGTAAATCACCACTTTTTTCTCTACCATACGGTTTTTTACACCTCGGGTGTGGCGGTACTTTAGGTTTGTTCGTGTGTGATGGTGTTGGTGTGTGTGTGTGTGTTCTCTTAGATACTGCGTGAAACATTCGCGATGTCAAAGGCTGTGTCAAGTCTCTGGTTTGACCGGGTACATTCGTTCAGTGTGAAATCTGACCATCAGTGCATAGATAAACTACACTCTCTAGATGTCCAACCTAGGGTCCCTTCATGTAAATTGACGTATTTGTCATCATAACAGGGTACGGAGAGATCCTAGTCTGCTCTCACTCTAAAGTGTTTGTGAAACATCTTCATTCGTTTCTGGGGATCAACACTAGATTTCTGACAGTTTTTTAGGTTATATTGAGGACATTGGCGTATCATACGTAATTTCCACATGTATAATTTCTCATTCAACTCTACATATTATATCCAAATGATGATGATAATTTTCAACTTTTGATAGCATAATCTTTGTGAGGCAGTGAGCAATTTTTTCTGAAAGTTTAATACGTTTTCCTCCGATTGGCAGCAAATATTAATTTTGCTGACACATATCAATATTCCACTTTGCTGCCTAGGCAGCAAAGTGATTACTTTGCTGATTGATATGTATCAGCAAAATTAAAAATCCATAAATCGTTTATAATTTCCTCCATATCTCATCCGAGATTTCTCCGGCAACAAATTCAACTCTATATTTTTTGCCACCTCCCTTATTAATGGAGGTGTAAGTATACTTCAAGGTCGCTATCACTGTCCATTATATAATAATTCAAATATACCGATATTTTTTCGCACAACTGTCAGAAATTTCATGAATTGTCAAACCAACAACTGCGATTTCTATCAAATTTCATTTTAATTGAACACTATACAGGAAGATTAAAGAGATTGTAGGAATTGTATTAATTCGCAAATACAATATTCTTCCATATCATTATGAACAATCGGAGAAAAAATTATATGTTCAACTCGGCAGCAAAGTAGATTGACTGCCTTAGCTGGATTCCTAGCCTCGCTACGCTCGGCTATGAATTCAGCCACGGCAGTCAATCTACTACTTTGCTGCCTAGTTAAACAAATAACTATTCACCAAATGGGACTTTTCTTAGGCAGTACCTATCAATAAATTAATTTTGATTTCAGACTAAGCCTTATGGTTGAGAAATGGTGAAAAATTTCATGTAGGTATTCAAACTAATGTGCTCATATGTCATGTGTGCTGTATACCGGGTGGCTACGGAAGTATTGCCTACGGAATATCTCAGTTATTGTATGAAGTAGGTTTGTGAAATTTGGAGCGTCGATATAATGACATAAGAGCTAGAATTTGAGCATATTGACATGTCGAAGTTAACTTCCGGTCTGACCGGAAGTAACATCAACTTTCTTATTTTAAATAGAAACCCTATTTTTTTTCTTTTCGCTTTATTCAGCATTCAATTCCTTTTCTAATGACTTATCACAAGTTGGTATCTAACCAGAAACTAGATCAGAAAAAAAATGTTATTGAAATTCACCGAGTAGGCCGTGGAAGCAAAATGAAAGCCAAAAATTGAAAAGTTGGCTATGGAAACCATACGTTACCTGATAACAGTTGCTACTACTGTGATATTTTATTTTCATTCGTCGGCGTTATAAAAAGCCTCCAAAAAAAATATTGGAAAAATTGTGAAAAAAACAATACTCTGTAGGTCCATAACTTAAATAGGAACATACAACTTTTTCTTGCCTGTACTATTCAGCATAACCAATCCTCTCTAATGATATAATAGAAAGTCATTTTTTGGCTTTCATTTTGCTTCCACGGCCTACTCGGTGAATTTCAATAATAATTTTTTTCTGATCTAGCTTCTGGTTAGATACCAACTTGTGATATGTCATTAGAAAGGGAATTGAATGCTGAATGAAGCGAAAAGAAAAAAAAATAGGGTTTCCATTTAAAATAAGAAAGTTGATGTTACTTCCGGTCAGACCGGAAGTTAACTTCGACATGTCAATATGCTAAAATTCTAGCTCTTATGTCATTATATCGACGCTCCAAATTTCACAAACCTACTTCATACAATAACTGAGATATTCATAGGCAATACTTCCGTAGCCACCCGGTATATTCATGTTGGGAATCATTTTTGCAGTTTTTCACGAACACTCATTATTTCGTGAATGTAGCTATAATTTTTTAAATGGTAGGGCATATGCCTCTTCTTTTAAGCCTACGTTTTAATCAAAACTGTTTCTACTGAAATGCATTCAAAAACATTTGGAGTAATAATTATAGGCACAATGAGAAAGTATAATATATGATTTCGTATTAGTTTTGCCTCGAATATTTAGCTGATGTATTCACCAATTTAACCCGTTCGGTCACTTCACTTTCCATGTTCTAAGCTGACAAATTCAAATGTGTGTGAAATGAAAATGGTCAGTAATGGTATGTTCATAGAAATTGTTCATATTCAATTCAATTCATGTTTAACGTAATAGTTGAAATATTAGTCTTACCTGTAAGCGTCCATGATAAGATACCCAACTTTTCATTGCAATAAATTAAATTGATCTGAGCATGCGCCCGTTGTGGCCCGCTGTTACCAATATTGAATAACAACTAAAAATAAAACATTCAAAATAAGATGTGCATTGAGCATTCAGCGTCAGTTGTACCAATAAATAAATCTGTAAATAACCATATTTATGTTTCTGCGCATGCGACCCAAACTGGCTCACGATAAAATTAAATTGAATATAAATTAAATATAAGTTTTTTCTTTCAATCCCCTGTGATAATCACAATAAAATATAACTTAACAATCATTACAGAATCTTCAAACACTTTATTCTTTCAATCCCCTGTGATAATCACAATAAAATATAACTTAACAATCATTACAGGATCTTCAAACACTTTATTCACTCCAGAAACTCCAGAAGATAGTCTTTCTCATAATCTGAATGTCGGGAAGGAAAATTAATTTCACATCTTGGCACTGTACATACTACACTTGTCTATTTCCATAAACTTCACTATTGTTCGAATTAAAGACAACTTTTCTTGATATATTTCTTCAATCTTGATTGAAAAATGAAATAATTGGTGATTAATCAAAAAAATACCAGTCCGAAACGAAAAAATCACGCTTCTTAATGGGAAAAAATCACAACAAATAAGACATGGCAATCATAATTCGTCTAACAAAATATGAACGCCATTTTGAAACCAATGTGCCTGTGCCTGCAACGCCTGCGCACTATCACAGATCACTGATCATTATGTCAAATGAACATCTATTGTTTGGTGGCTCAAATATTAATACTGTACAAGGTTATCCTATCTAGTTGGAGGTCTAGAGAGTGTATTATGTCTATGCATCAGTGTGACCAACCGGCTGTAAGGTACCACGTCAACTTCTGATGGGGTCATCTCAGTATTGAAGCCTACTAGAGTATTGTAACCAGTTGAATTTGCAGATGACGTCGATTTCATCAAGTGATTAACTTGGACAAGTCGGGATATCGCTTCGCTCAAATGAACTGTTGTCCTATTTTGGTCATATTCCGACCAAATCGTAGATTAATGTTTCGGAATAGACTGAGAGCCAGTGATCGGCAGACATACGGTATGTTAGCAAACTTCATATTGATGTTAGGTATACTATGTCAACTGCCGTAGGTAAAATGCGGATTCACTATCCCCGTCGACACATCTTTTGGGTGTATACAGAGGTCGAAAAACGTCAAATATTTTTTTCAAAATCGTGATGGCAGACACCTTGCAAGTGCATGCATCTTTACAAGTTTCGTCTCAGTAAATGATGCGAATATTGAATATTTTTGGCGTGTTTCTGCATAACTTCTAGTAGTCCATATATGAGCGAAGTGACAGCCCTGACTCGTCTAAGGTGTGAACGATGTGATCGACTGCACTTTCAAATTGATACCATAATTTCTAGCGAACGCTCCAAATTCCTCACCATACATCTAATTTGATCAATATCGGGATGTTTCGCGCCAGTTTTGATTATGAAGAGTGATCCAATTTGAGTTTCCGATGTTGCCATTACTGTAAACCAAAGATCTGGTGAAATCCAGGGTGATTCTTTATCATTATACTGACAGGATTATGGCGAGACCACCATTTCGAATTATTCCTTTCTGATGACGTCATATGAGGACGAACAGGATAGCCAACCCAGGATTAATTTAAGGTCTGTTGTGTTCATTCAATGTGCTGAATTCGGTTTTTAATGACTCTTTGTTTATATTGTGCGATGAACAGAGATACATATTTTAAAATGGAACTTTACGACACAAACGAGACAGAAACATTGGAAATTCAAATTGTTATATGTATTTTGAAAAATTGACAGTGATTCGTTATTTTTTAGCATCACAGGCAAATAAATCCATCATAGATCAATTACTTCAATACCCTTGACACCTTGTATTCAGCCTGGCACGAATCGTATAGGGGTTTCCCTCCTATAATAGATTTTTCACTTTAAACTATCACGATTTGAGCCAACTTGCCCCAATAATAAATTAAACATAAGAGAAAGGTGATGTTATTATTTTCGCAATAATTCTAACCTGTTTTGGCTTGTCATATTATTAGATATTATATCATCATGTACAAATGGAGAAAGGCTGAAATCAGCTCACTGCCTCAACCAAAGAAGCATATACATCTCTTAAATAACCAGGAACTACAAGTTGCCAAATAAATTAGCTGGAAGGATATTTTTTGTCAAGAGATGGCACTCTATCCTCTCTGTCCCAAGGTTGGTAGAATTGATGATTATTTGTAGAAGAAGGTTGCCTGGATCTGAAAACGTAATCGTTGTCATGGGAATCTATATACTACAAGTAAATCTACCAGTCCAGCTGTGATTTTGAATTTCACATACATCTATGATCTATGAAATGTTGTATGCGATTACGTCACTAATCACAACTTCTCCTCACCGCGTTTTCTGATCA